TAAATCCCGTCATGTCATAGAATCTTTGGAAGGTGTTTTTGGATTCAGTTTGCTAGTATTTTGTTGAAGATATTTGTACTTGTGCTCATAAAGGATACTGATCTATACAGTTGACACTTGAACAATGTAGGGATTAATGGCACTCACCCCCTGGGGAGATTGAAAATCTGAGCATCACTTCATAGTTGACCCTCCCACTATAAAGTGGTTCTGTATCCATGGATTTAACCAAACTGAGGGCACGTAGTACTGTGGTATTTATTGGAAAAAAAAAAATCTATGTATAAGTAGACCCCAATAGTTCAAACCCAAGTTGTTTGGGTCAACTGTATTTTCTTTTCTTGTTTTATCTTTATCTAGTTTTGTATCAGTAATGCTGGCCTCATAGAATGAGTTAGGAACTGTCCCTCATCCTTTTTTTCTTGATATAATTTGAAAAGAATTGATGTTAATTCTTTAAATTTTGGTAGAATTTACTAGAAGACATTTAGGTGGTCCTGGAGTTTTCTTTGTTGGGTGGTTTTGATTATTGCTTCATTCTCTTTACTTGTAATAAGCCTATTGAGATTTTGTTTTCTTGAGGGTAGTTTTTTTTTTCTCCAATTTGTAAGAATTTGTTCTTTTCATTTAGAATATCTAACTCATTAATTGTTAACTAACTGGCATACAATTGTTCTTAACATTCTCTTATCATTTTTATTTTTGTCAGGTTAGTAGTAACAACCCCAGTTTCATTCCTGATTTTAGTTATTTAGGACTTTTTTTTGGTTGTTAGTCTAGCTAATGGTTTCTAATTTTTGTTGATCCTTTCAAAGCACCAATTTTTACTTTTGTTGATTCTCTGGGTTTTCTCTGTTTCATTATTTTCATTCATATATATTTTCTTCCTCCTGCTATTTTTAAGTTTAATTTGCATCTTTTTTGGGTTGCTCAGCAGTAAAGAATCTGCTTTCCAATCCAGGAGATGTGGGTTCAATCCCTAGGTAAGAAAGATCCCCTGGAGAAAGAAATGGTAACCCACTCTGGTATTCTTGTCTGGGAAATCCCATGGGCAGAGAAGCCTGGCAGGCTACAGTCCATGGGGTCGCAAAAGAGTTGGACATGACTTAGCAACTAAACAACAACAATACTGATTTGAGATCTTTTCACTATTTACTGTGTTTACTGCAGGCCCTGAGCACTGCCTTTGTTGCATCCCCTGTTCATGAAAGACATAATATTGTTAAGATGGTGGTAATCTCTGAACTATTCTATATATGGATACTCTATATGGATATCCATTTTATATATGGATATTCTATGTATGGAAAGTGTATCCTCCTTCATATAGAGTTTACAAATGTTTAGTTTTGTTGTTGGTTAGTATTAATGCTTAAATATTCAGTTTACTTCATTGCTTTGTTGAAGCTCTTTGGGCATTTTCTTTCAGTTGTGAAAAGTTTTTGATTATTAGCTCATTCCCTTTACTTGCAATGTCTGTTCAAGTTTCACTTTCTTCTTGATGCAGATTCAGTAGTTTTTGTCTAAGACTCTTATGTCATCTAGGTTATCTTAGTTCATTGACATAAGGTTCATAGTATTCCTTTAAAATCCTTTGTATTTCTATAAGGTCAGTGATGATGTCCCCTCTTTTATTCCTGATTTTGTTCATTTAAGTCCTTTTTCTCTTTTTCACTCTATCTAAAGGTGCATAAATTTTAATTCATCTCTTCAAAGAACCAACTTTTAGTTTCATTGATTTCCTATATTGTTTTATTTCATTTTTTTTCTGCTCTAATTTTTATTTTCCTTCCTCCTGCTTGCTGTGATTTAATTTGTTCTTCCTAGTTTTATAAGGTTCATTTTTAATATAGGCCTTTATGAATATAAATTTCCCTCTAAACAAGGGTTTAGTTTATCTCATAAATTTGGTAATATTTTCATTTTTATTAATCTCAAAATATTTCTTAATTTCCTTGTGATTTCTTCTTTTAGTCATTATTTAGAAGCATATTGCTTGGTTTCCACATCATATTTTCCTTTGTTACTGATTGCTGATTTCGTCCATTGTGGTGGAAGGATGTATTTTGTATAATTTCAAGCCTTTTAAATTTAATATCATCTCTTATGGCCTAATTTATGTCTGCCAACATCTCTATGCATTTGAAGTAAACATATATTCTTGTGTTCAGTGGAGTGTTCTATAGATATTTGGTCCGGTTGGTTTGGGCTTCCCAGGTGGTGCTAGTGGTGAAGAACCCACCTGCCAGTGAAGGACAGTAAGAGACATGGATTCGACCCTGGTTTGGGAAGATCCCCTGAAGGAATGAATGGCAACCCACTCCAGTATTCTTGTCCGGAGAATTCCATGGGCAGATGAACTGGGAGGGCTACAGTCCATAGTGTTGCATAGAACTGAAGTGACTTAGCATGTATGCATGCATGCTGGTTGGTTTATAGAACTCTTTAACTCTTCTATATCCTTGTTGATCTCAAGTCTAGTTGTTTACCCTTAATTAAGCTTTATCTTTCTTTTCCTCAAACTGGAAAATCTCAACCGACCAATCTTCAAATTGACTGACTCTTTCTTCTACCAGCTCAATTCTGCTGTTCAGTATTTTGATCATTTTTTTTTTCATTTTAGTGATTGTGCTATGATATCCATAATCTGTTTTTAAAATAATATTTCTCTACTTAATTGATATTCTCTATTTGTTGAGGCCCAAAAGTTTCTTGAAGGAAGGACTGCACTGGAACTGAGTGAATGTTTGTGGATGCACATCTTGCTACCATGGTCGTTTATACTTTCCAACAGTAAATGTTAACAGAGACAAAGGCCCTAGTCACTACGTGCCCCATCCAGGGTATTATCAGTAAGGGCTTGTAATCCAAATTTGATTCCAACACCAGGAACATGGGCATCACCTGGGAGCTGGTTAGAAATGCAAAATCTCAAGTCCCACTCCAGATTCCCAAATCAAGCTGAATTTTAACAAGGTTGGGCTTCCCTGGTAGCTCAGCTGGTAAAGAATCTGCCTGCAATGACAGAGACCTGGGTTTGACCCCTGGAGAAGGGAAAGGTTGCCCACTCCAGTATTCTGGCCTGGAGAATTCCATGGATTGTATAGTCCATGGGGTTGCAAAGAGTCAAACATGACTGAGCGACTTTCACTTTCACCTCCCACACACATGTACATTATGAGTTTGAAAAGCAGTGGGCCAAAGGTCCTGGAACCCACCACATTTTCAGAGCCTTCAAGGTATACCAGTATTTAGAATAGCAACTTTGCATTTATTTGTATGACTCTGATAAATGTCCATCTTCCTCTCTAGATTGAAACTCCACAAAGGGGGTTGTACCTCAAAGCCAGGCACATAGTAAGTGCTGTAAAATCTGTCAAATAAATCAATGAACTAGACTCTGAGAACTTACACTCATTTGCTTCTTCCAACCTCAAATACTTTAGGAAGAGGTTTTACTTCTAACATATTTGGAAAACTTCAGTTTTCTCAGATCTCCTAGAAATGATTAGGAAGGATCTCTGAGATGAGGAAAAAACTCTTGAAATAAGGAAGCTGCAGTTTTTCATTACCTTTTGCTTAAAGTATGTATTTATACAAAATTTGAGCTTCCTAGCCACTAACGGTTCTCTGAGTACTGGAAAGGAAGAAGCCATGAACATAGTCTCTATAATAATTCTGTAGGACTAATTTTTGATCTTTAGATTTGTTCATCAAGAAAGTTTATTGGAATAGGAGTAAAATGTTACAAACTAACCAAATCAACACTTTTTTTTAAAGGCTCATAATTCATATATATATATATTTATATCTTTATCTTCCTTTATATAAAAAGATTTAAGACAAATGTTTAGAAGTGAGACTTGAGAGAACATAACTAAAGCAATTTGCTGAGGTATGACATGTTATAGTGATTTTCCAGTCTTTCTCAGAAAGCATAATAATGTGGTAATATCTTTCAACTAGAAAATTATTCACAACCTGAAAGTTGAGAGTTATATTTCATTCAGTGGCAATGTTTAGGACTGCAAGCCTGGGGGGCAGCATCTCAAGTAATCCTGAGAGAACTGCTCCAAGAAGGCAAGGGGAGGAGCCAGATTATAGATAGAAGTCTTGCAATAAAGGACAGGTAGTCTGAACATCAAGCTTATTGTTAATGAAAGAAAACTAGATATCTCAAGGAGTTTAGCACCTTTGTTGTATGGGAAGATGCAAGAGTTTGGGCTCAGTGAGATCATTCCTTTGATATGCAACTCAGCTCCCTGGGGCTTCAATCCCTGGGTTGGGAAGATCCCCTAGAAAAGTGAAAGGCTACACACTCCAGTATTCTGGCCTGGAGAATTCCTGAACTGTATGGTCCATGGGATTGCCAAGAGTTGGACACGACTGAGCAACTTTCACTTCACTTCACTTCCCTGGGGCCAGTATCCTGTGTTTTCACATCCCGAGTTTTCTCAGGGCTCCCCATAGGGAGTGGCTACAGACTAATGGCTGCCGCTGCTACTCCTACTAAGTCACTTTAGTCGTGTCTGACTCTGTGGGACCCCATCCCTGGGATTCTCCAGGCGAGAACACTGGAGTGGGTGGCCGTTTCCTTCTCCAATGCATGAAAGTGAAAAGTGAAAGTAAAGTCACCCAGCTGTGTCCGACTCTCCACGACCCCATGGACTGCAGCCTACCAGGCTCCCCCGTCCATGGGATTTTCCAGGCAAGAGTACTGGAGTGGGGTGCCATTGCCTTCTCCAAATGGCTGCTAGATGGCAGGTATTCTTTCCTTTTTCAGCTCTGTTTCTCAGGGCTCAGCAGCTCAGGTTGGAGGGCTGCAATCACTGATGACTGTGACATCCTCTGTTTGCTGATATGGCAATATTTTATTTATCATCTTCGTTCCCAATATTCCTGGTATTAAAGTGGTTCTACTATAGATGGCGTTTGTGAAAACTCAAATTACCTTGATAATTCTTCCAGTTTAGAAAAAAAAAAAAAACTCAGACAATTGGTATTATTAACAGTGTTTTTATTTACAAAGAATTATTTTTATTTGGCTGTTTGGAAAACCACTAACATTTTTCACTTTTAGAAAACATTAAATAATAAACAAGATGTTATACAGTACTTTGGATAACTTCTTCCATCAGTGTAGTGCAATGTATTATTGGCACCTAAAAGTGAAATTTTCTATTTTCTCCTTTCATCTCCAGTTGTGCAGTTATATGACCAAAAAGGAAATGAATCATTAAAAATGGATCTAAAGCTGTATTTCCTGGCCCCAAACTCAAAGGCTTACTGATTTATATTCCCCCTCCAGCCTTGCCTCCACCAAGTTAAATGATGAAAGATTCTATAGTCCTATTGTTCCAAAAACAATACCATTGTGTGGGGCTTGGAGATTCCAAATGGTAAGAGACACTTATGCTATTAGGTGAAGGAAAGGTCCTGGCAGTGGTGTTGGGCATGGCACACTTTCTCAGTAGCCAGGTGAAGTTGTCACACACATTGCAGGGAGATCGCACCAGATAAAAATCTCTCTCAGCTATGTTCTTAGCTATAGTCTCTTTAAAAATTTGAAATATCATCCATTAAGCAAGTAAAAGGGTTATAACTTTACTAAGAAAAAAAATGCACACCACCACATTAGGATGTCATTGAGATACTAAAATATCTGCCCATCACTCTTTTGGAATAAATAGATTTTACATTTTTTCTTTTTTGTTTTCGTAACACTTCTAGGCTTGCCATAAAGAGAGAGACCTTTTCATGAGCTCAGCGCTGTGGCTTTCCCCCTTTGATTCCTCTCTATTCAGAGGCCAAGAGGGAAATAGCTCAGTTACACCGTAGCCTAGTCCATGTTACTTAGGCCTGGAAATTTTCATTACATAGTAATACAATCAAGATATCTTTGGAGAGATCCTGTAATCCGTTACTCTACCTTGAGGTAAGAACACTTTAAACCATCTTAAATTAATAGAAAAGAATGTTATCAAATTTTTTTTAAGTCTCAAAAAAATTCACACACTTTTAAAAACAAAAGATTCTAATTTAACAACTGTCCCTGCCAGGAAACGCTCCCTCACACTCCAGTCTAAGCCTGTTTCCTCTTGTTCTATTCTTAGTGCATGTGGAGAGCAGCTGGTCACCATCCTCTCTGTACCAACCCTTTATATACTTGAAAACCAGCCATGGTTTGCCCCTCAGTCTTCTCTTCTCCATGCTGAATAATCCCAGCTCCTTTAACTTTTCATCATAGATCTTTTTTTCCAACCCTTTAATCATCTTTGTGATTCCTGGCAAAAACAGCAGAAAATATTTTGATTACTTAATCAGAAATCAAAGCCTCAGGAATAAGTTGCCTTTTAAAAGTTCTGTATGTATATTTTTAAACCCAAGAGTAAACTTTGCAGGGAGGAAATGTAGTTGTGGGCTCACTGATCTTAAAATTCCAATCTTGTCCTGTTGCCCTAGTGTGTGTATGAATCCCATGTCAGCACATCCAGTGCCTCAAAGCATGAGATTTGCCTCCCATCCTTTCCTGACACAACAGCACATAGGTCATGTTCGAGACCTGCCCAAATTTATACTTGTTTAAAAATTAGTATGACAATCTTTCAATGGAGCTTCCCCCATGCTTCCAAACACCCAGCTTCCACAAACAGAACCTTTTCTTCAAAACAACCCGAACTTCCATAAAGCTGCTTACAGATTGCCAGAAAGAACCACGTTGTTATGGTAAAAGCTGTTGGTTTTCAAGTGTAACCTGAAACAGTGAGGGTTTTATATGTTAACCTCAGTTTCCTGTCTATTACTGAATGGTCTACTGTCCTTTGTAGTGATCAAACTCAATGCCATTAAATTCACCTCCCTATGACCACAACCTGACACCTCTTCCAATTTTCCCTTGCTGCCAATATAAGGTCATGGAACTGGATGCCATTCCACCGTGTATTTTTTAACTCAAGAGATCACAAGCTGCCTTTCCCTTGCAACTAGAGTCTGTAACTATTAGGAACACATAACTACTTAATACCAATAACACATTTACACAAAATACAATACTACTGAGGGATTATGTGCCCACTTTACATAATTGTCTTTAGAAGAAAAATACAGTTAACAAGAATAAATGCATCTTGATATGTTATACACCCTTCTTTTACAAAGAGAATGGCAGTGAAAGAGTCCAGGTCAGACAAGAACTATCAATACCAAGTGGACACGAGAAACCAAATTTCACAAGCACACGGTACAACACATCTTGGGGAAGTCAATACTACTCGTGGTACAACACTGAAGAGATAGCAGAATGGCCATTTGCACAGATTTCTTCTGAAACCTTCTCCCATAATTTGCTACAAGAAACACCTTGCAACCAGGATGAAGGATGGTATAGGTCACACACGCCAAAGGCCTTCTTAAGAGACACAGCATGAAAGGTTAACACCCAAAAATGACTTTGGACACGTCTACAGATGCCCCCCTGTATTTCAAGGAGGGTGTCACTGTTCATTGGGATTGCACAACAAAAGCAGGCCAGCAAGCTGTGGGTCACCAACCAGACTTTCCTGACCCACTCTTTTCCTAGGCCTGATAAGAGGGAGGAGAGGACAGGAGGTGAAGGTTGGAAAAAGAGGAGGGAGCAACACGGGGGTTCACTGCTAGTTCTGGAGTTGCTCACGTTCTTCAGGGCAGTGGCCTTTTTTCAAGCTCACATCATCCAATCCAATCTCCCCAGTGTGACCATGCCTTTTTTCACCTTTGAAGATGACCTAGAGAGAGAACGCACACACGGGTCAAGCCTCCTCTGCCCCTTTCCAACGTCTGCTCATTTACCAAAATAAAGGCAACCTTTCCCCCAAAACTAAATAGTAAACTTAACAGAAGGAAAGACTAGAACAGAGTTGCCAGTGTCACTGAGGCTTGCCTTTTGGTAGGAATTTAAGTCATCAGTAGACGGTTGTTCATCAGATCACCTTACCCAGAATCAGTTCTTCTTTGAAAAGTCATTCTAAACAATAGACTAGTTCCATTTAGGAATGATTATGAAGTGGAGACTTTGTCAAAGATTACCAAGGTCAGAAGAAAAGAGTGGGATGGAATATAATGGTGTAGAAATTAGGAGCCAAAGATCTGAAAGATCACAATCATGCAGCCTATCTTAGATGTTTTCTAAGTTTTGTTGCTTAAAATAGAGTAGAACCAAACACCCTAATGCAATCACAGCCTTGTTCACTTATGTAAAGACCAAAGTCTTTCCTGCATTTTATCTTCTGTAGAGCATCCTTGCTCTTTTTAAAACAGAAACCTATGTTAGGGTGTGTAACAACTTTTTTTTATCTCCAAACAATGTAAATATTAAGAGAAATTTTCAGAAAAATAGTAAAAACAAAAAGCAATTCTCTGATAAAAGCTGTATTCATGGACTCCATCCTTTCTTTTTAAAGCAGTTTCTAGAAACTATACCTCTAGGTATAGATGTAGAATCTCCTAGTAACAATTTTTATAAGTATGGCTGTAAAGACGACACATTTCCGAAATACATTCACTGTTTCAGTGGGGTGTTATAGATCTTTTATTGTCACCTATAACTTGACTACTTCAGATAAAATTTATATATTCAATTGAAGCTTTCCCCACATCCTGCCCTGAATAGAATAATACTTTCCAAACATATTGTTCTGGTTCCCACCCAAGGCTGCTTAACTATGATCTCTGAGACAAAGAGGGGGTAAAAAAAGACTTTAAAGAAACATTAAAAAAATAACCCACTTTAGGGTAGCTCATGGTGGTCACAGTTTGATGTATAAGGAGTTTGAGGAAAAGGAAAAGCAGGATAAGCCCACCACACCGCCCACCTTTTGAAGTTTTTGTTAGCTTTTTTTAACTTTTGCAACTCCTAAATTTTTTTTTCATTGCAAGCAGGGGCTGTTCACCAGGGTCAGGGGAGAGGTCATGATCAGAGGTGGCCGTGAAGAACAGGTTTGAAGGAGCACGGGGTTAAAGAAAGCAAGCCAGAGGCAGGGTCACCACGCCCGGAAAATGCAACCGCCTCGTGCCTGAATTCAGGAAGAGCGGAGGAGGCTTCCGCTGCAGACCCCCGAGTTCTCCTCTGAAAGGAAGACCTCCCCGGTTCGGCCTCCCTGCCGGGTCTACTTACGCTCTTGACGTCGGCCCCTCGCAGGGTGATGTGCGTTTGCCTCCAGCCATGACCACCATTTCTTCCCCACAGGGCTGCTCCGTGGGCACCGTGTTTCCTCACAAACACCTGGAGCGTGCCGGAGTGCAGCCCCGTCACCTTGTGCCTGAACGACAGGCACAGGTCCCCTGCATGCAGGAGGCGGCCGAGAGGGAGCTGCAGGCGGGCGGCCCTTCCCAGCGGGCCTTTGGCTGCTGAGACTGCCAGATACCGTCCACCTGCAGGGGAAGAGCAGGGCCGTGTGTGCGCATGCGCTCAGGTGTCCGCTGGCACCCGGGCGGCGGCTGGCGCTTCGCTTCTGTCCTGATAAGCCCCAGGCTGTGCCGGTCATTTGTAAAGAATTGCAGACTTTTGAAGGAACTTATCTCTATGACTGTCTTAAATTCTGTGGTTTTCTGTTAACAGCGAACACTTTGCTCATGAGGGGTACAGATTATGCCAAGGACAGCCAATAGTTAGTAATCCTAATGCTATAAATACTTCCAGTTAGATATGATCAGACACACACAGGCAAACACACACTCACCATCTCTTGATCCACACGCATTTACTGCCTGGCTGATGTGGTGGCTGACTTAAGTTGCCAGGAAGAATTTTCTAGGTGGATTTTCTACTTCCCGGCAGTAGAGCTGATACTGATTTAAAGGGACACTTGATCTGATCATTCTCACTTCTCCCCACTTAAAAAAAGTCTCTCAAGGGAGAAGGATCATTTACAAATGAGTTCTCTGTGCTTCTCATTCATACCTGACTTCAAGAAGATGCAGAAGTGTTCTGGAAACCTGCCACATCTTCCCAGAGCATCAGTATTACTTGGAGGTAAATAGTTTAAAAAATGTTTATGTGAAAACAAATCCATAATGATACAATTAATATATATGATTTCTATTATGTATACATGAATGCAAAATGTTAATAACATCTTTCCCTTTGGAAAGGTCACTTTGATGATCCTGGATCCTCAGGGCCACAGCGTTTGCTTCCCCCTATTGTTAGAGGAACTGCAATGAAGGGGGAAAGATCTGAGCAGCAGTGATGTGGGAGGGGGTGCTGCTTCTCAGGACAGGGACAGCTGCAAGGCATATTTTGAAGCTCAGTCCGTGTACAAATGACATTCCCCTCAGGCTGTTTTACTGCAACCAACTGAAAAACATACTGATGTCTCAACACTGACTTATCCATAGGAAGAATGTGGCTGCAAAGCTGAACATGTGTATCTGTTCTGGTAGAAACCCCACTTACATTTCATTGGAAATGATTTCTTAACACAAACTGCACAAGACATGACAAGGTTTGGGATGTTATTCTGCAAGTGACTTCTCCTCTACCAAGTCCCCTCTGGGCCTCTGAAGACCCAAAGAGGTGACCTGTGTGTACCTGTGGTGTGCCATGCTCTGTGCCAGTGCTCCATGGGGAGCATCTCATTCAGCCTGCTAACACGCCCTTGAGGTTTTGAGAGGCGGTCACCCAGGGTGTCATCCAGCCACTGTGTAGCTGAGTAACAGTTTGAGTTCAAAACCACCTGAATACCTGTTCAGCATGCGAATCACTGGTCTCCACATTTCCCTCCTCCAGGAGACTGTGTCATAACCAACTTCTCCCCTAAACCCCATTACATTCCTAGTACATGGTAGGCGTTTAATGCCATTTGTTGCATTAATGATGTTCCAAGAATACAGCAAAAAACAACAGAGAAATAAGTCCCTTAGTCATGTACTTGACTCACCAAAAACAAACACAATTTTTTGTACTCCTTCCACCTCTGTCTTCCCCAAATGAATCCAAACAATATTTTGAGCCAAAATATTTAGATGGATTTAGAATGTCTCTCTGTTAGTCAGCTTTTTGAATCATCACAGGTATTTTGGTTAAGACAAAGATACAAGGTTATTACAGTTAATCTGTAATATTTAAGAAAACAAGGATTATCTTAAGTCCCTGTGGAATGGACACTAATATCACCATACCAGACTCTGCCTGCAAACAAGACAACCTAACAAAAACCAAGGAATCCTAAGAAGAGGCAAATAATCCTTTTATATAGATACTTAAAATTCTATAAATGAGGTTACAATTGTTCTCCCCCCATAGGGCTACTCTGTGGCCACTAAGAGTTTTTTATTTTGTTTTTTAACCACAAAGAATTTTTCCCCTTTTTAATAAGTGGGGCTATTACAAATTTAGAATGGCAGTGAAGGCAAAAGTTGATTGAGCATTCCAAACAAACTACCCTATTAAATATTTTCACTTCTGATTCCAAAATACTGGTTTAAATATAAAATTACATTATTTTTCATGGATTCAATTTAAGGCATCACAGTATCTAAAGGTGGTTTTGGTCAATAATAGATGCCAGATATACAGGTGATAAATTTTTAATTTCAAACAGATAGGAAATGATATCTGTACAAGGTTACTTACTACAGCATTGTCTGACCTGGAAACAGCTGAAACGTCCCTCAGTGGACGGCCGTTTAAATCCGTTTAAGGCGTAATGGAGTAACCACCACTAACAAGAGTGAGGGTACCCTGTATGTGCTGACACAGAACACTCTTCCGCAGCAACAGCCAATACTATTCTAATGGTAACTCTGGGCCAGGGACTGCTTTAAATGCTTTACATATGTTTAGCAGACACTACTGAAGTGACTTAACTTGCTCAAGATCAAAGCTAGTAAGTGGTGGTGCCAGGTTACAGCCCAGGCTTTCTGGCTTCAAAGTCCACACTCATGTTAACTCTTAAGATAACATCGTTAAGTGGAAGAAGTAAGGTACAGAAGAGGGGCTGTGGTGTGGAAAAATGTCTCTCTAGAAAGGTAACCAGGAAACTGGCTGCATCTGGGAGCCAGGGTTAGGGAGGGAGCTTTTCTTTTCCTGTTTTCATGTATTTCAAAATAATGTTTCTTAATGCTACAGTAGACATACTTGTACATACATGCCAGCATATAATTTTATACTTAAATGAATTCCCTGTAGCTCTCAGTAGCAGGCTGAGTCAGCTGCCCTTAACTTGATCCCCAGAGATTAGGGTTCCAGGAAAAGGGTCCCAAGTTTAGCTTTGATACTAGAGGAGAAGAACGTGTATTCAGGGTCACAGCTACAAGTCTATAGCACAACATCACATCTGTCAGGAGCACACACTCCCTAGAGGATGGATTAATTTCACTAAGTCACAATTAAGTTCAAGACTGAATGTGATAATAAAATCTAATGAGCACTGGGAAGGCAGATAATAAATGCACGTATTTTGCAGCTATTTCTGAAAGTTGTAAGTTTGTTTAATCAAGGTTTGTCTTAGAGATATTAGTATCTAAGAATATTTGTAAATCTGGATCTTGCATAAGAAATACACAACATAAAAATCAGTCATAACTGCAGAAATCCAAACATGTTCCCTTACAAATGGTATAATCTAGACAGAAAGAAGCAAACAGTTTGGGAATTAGAATAATACACAAAAGTGATTGATTAAATTGCTTATAGTCTTTTTCTGGCCTTAGCATGTGATATATGCACAACCTCACCTGGACTTCCTAGAAAAAAAGTAGGCTCAGAAAGTAAGCTTCAATAGTATTTATCATCTGAGTGTGTTAGAATCTGTATATGGTTAGAATTTCCCAATAGGTGCTAAAAAAACCCACCTGCAATTATGCCCTGACATATAAGCTGTATCATCTTTGGTCTTCTAACCACCTCTTCTAACTCTGTCATCTTTGGTCTTCCCATCCATTTTCCAAGATTGAACTCTGCTCTCTGATCTTGGATGACCTGGGATGTTCCATTCTGGTTCACAGGCTCCAGGGCTCTAATCCAACCCTTGTCCAATTCTCAAAACAACACCTTGTCAAGTGTCGCCCAGTCCACGGTCTCCACTGACAGCCCCCTGATCTCTCTTTAGACAGCTCTGACTATGGGCAAGTTCTGACAGTGAGCAAAAGTCAGCCCCCTGTAAGTTTTTACCTACTGATCCAAGTTCTTATCCCCTTGCGGTCACAGAACAACTGAGATAGATGTTGCCGGACATGTACTGAAAAGCTACCCTGTTCCATTATTTCTACTTCCAGACTAAACATTCTGGGTTCCTGGGTTTCTCACTTGTTTTTCTATAAGCTTTGAGATACCTTTCCATCAAGGTCATACTCTTCCAAGTCACCGACAATTACCTCTCTTCTCTGGTAAAGCCAAAGTGTATTTTCCATTCTAGAAAAAAATACCTATTTCTATGGAAATGACCCAACTTTCCGGCAGCAGTGACACAGGGTTCACTCACATTGATTTTATCCATTAAAACTCTAAGTCTTTCACGCTTAATGCTAAGTCACATCCTTCCACTCCCACAGCCGTGTGGGTGGTTCAAGAGCTACACTATGGATTCATCCCCAGGAGATGCTGTCTCTTAAGTGTGGCCCACTGATCTAATCTTTGGAGGCTATTTGTGTCGGCACACACAGTTGCTTTCTCCCTTGGCTTTAAGTTATCCACAGATTGGTTAGTATGCCTTCAACATCCAGTTCATCCAAGTTGTTGGCAGAAACCTGGAGCAACCCCAGAAAAGCATCTTTGAGGGGCCAGAGCCAATGAGCAGAAGCTATCTAATTACCCAGGCAACCACCATTCCTTTCCACTTGTTCTGTATTATCACAGCCAAAGGACCATTTCAGACCTTTTTCTACCATTCTAACTGCCAATCCTCTTTTCATTTTTCTCTTGGAGGGCAAGTAGATTTGGAGGGGGTGGGGCAGGTCACAGCAAATTTAAACATTTACATATGTGATGAATAATAAAAGCTGTTGAAAAGTACTAAATTGGTTCTAAAAGACAGTATTTAAATTCCAAAAAGTCAAATATTTTACACAGACTGTTTACAGACAAGTGCAATGAATTCTGAGTTGAGTGTGAATTACTCTCCCCAGTGTACCTTACTTAAAACAGTTCTTCATTATGATCATGAGCATTATTCACCATTTTATCACATCAGGTCACTAAAGATCCTTCCTTCTGTAGCACACTACCCCTGGTCAGTGGTCACTCAAATCTCCAGGCCTGAGACGTGCTAATCAGATCATGCACACAATCCCAGGACAGGGAGGCCAGGCTGGATGGGGAAATTCTCAATAATACGGCAGGGGTTGTGGGCACTGAACTGTTGAGGTGGCTGCACGGGCAGGACAGAGAGGCCTGGATGAGAAGTCTGTTCTTTAGCTCTGTAGCCTTAGGAAACTGATGTAACCTCTGGGCCTTTGTGAAATAAAAACATTACTTCCACAGGGTAGATAAGAGGATTAAATAACTGAGATGATGAATGAGTCAGGACTATAGTAGATATCAAATACATGTTGATTTCTCCCTTATTCACAGTTATCTCTGACATTAATAATGATGTCATCTGTCTCAGAGCTAACCTTCAATTAATGAGAATGAGAGAGAGTGCACTGGTATGTGTGTGTATGTGAGACTAAAAATCATTTTACAGTTAAATCTAAAAACCCCTCTGAATTTATTGGGTACTTATTTTTAAAGTGAAAGTGTTAGTCGTTCAGTCGTGTCTGACTCTGTGTGACCCCACGGACGGTAGCCCACCAGGCTTGTCTGTCCATGGAATTCCCCAGGCAGGAATACTGAAGTGGGTTGCCATTCCCCTCTCCAGGCAACCTTCCCAATCCAGGGACAACCCGGGTCTCCCACATTGCAGGCAGATTCTTTACCATCTGAACCACCAGGGAATTTTTTAAAAGCTTACCTCAAATTTCCTTTTTTAAATATCTCTAACATTTCAGTCTTAGGGGATCTATTGAATATATTTTTGCCCCAAACGTTTAATAACTTGCTACTCAAAATGTACATGAGGGATGAACCTGAAAAGTATCCCCAGGAAGTGTGAGAAATGCATGAAGACCTACATTGTAATAAGGCCTCCTGCAGATTTGTGTGCACATTGACCACTGCGAAGAGCTGGTTTTAATACAGCGTACCCTCAAGCTAACCTTTACATGTTCTGTGCTCGCTCTCTCTCTATTGCTGGGATAGTACTGAGGAACTAGGCTTTTAAAGCAAGTACCTCCCCCCCCCCCGCCCCCATGATTTGCATCTTTCATTCCTGAGTCTAGAATTAGGAGCATAAAAAGGAAAAAAAAGAAACCAAACTTCTCACCCTTCCATTAAGTTTGACTCGCCCATAAAAGATTAACCACTAAAGGGAAGGGGGAAAACCAACAACAATATGCAGCTTTGTTTCCTGAAACAAGACGACAAAACATGTAATTTCTGAAACTTCAGATTCGTAAGACATGTGTAATTTAAAAGTCTTAATTTTCCAAGGGTCTACATTTACATCTACCTTTCCAATAACATTCTCTTGTGGAATAAGTGGTGGTAATTTATAACTAATTTCTCCAGCATCCAAATTAGACTGAAAATTAGATTGTGAGAGAGATTCACAACTTCACAGAAATTTCCACTGTTTCCTTCTACTATTACCTTAAAGACATAATCAAGAAAACAACCAGGGACTATATGATGGCTGCTGTTCCATGATATTATTTTTATACTTGGGAAGGGGGCACTACACATAGCTTTATATTTTAGAATGAGCCTGCATGTTTTATATTTATACCAAGCTGTTTTGAGAGAAATGAGCTGGCCTTTTAATGAATTACTTGTCTACTTATAATTCTAATTGCTAGCTAACAAATTCAGTTCACCTAAAAAAAAATGGAAGATGAATGCTGGATACACTTTCTTTTCTATTAAGTAAACACAGAGCTATGTTACAGTTTCCTTGATTAGCGGAACTGAGGTCCTCATATAGGATCCAACTGAAATGTGTTCTAGGGTTAGACAGTTTTACCTGCTGGATCCCTCACTGGTTCCCAGTGCACGTCACTGTCTTTTTCCCGGATCCATCCACAAAGCCCATGGTCAAAATTACAACTGTGGATCAGAACACCTGCAAGGAAATTACCAGAAAGATGAGTAGACCACAAACCCAAGGGCTAACAACAAAAGTCTTGTGAACCAGAAGTATCTGTCCAAGTGTTCTCTCCTGTCCACATTTAAATATCCAACCAGAAGGTCTGTCCATGAGATCAAAAGGAAATCACATGAATCCTTTCTCAGCACAATTGTGCATCAGTGCTCAGCTGTAAAAATAGAACACACCACTGCTGCCAAATTATGACCTTGTTACCTCATCACTTATAAAATATGACTTCCTCCTCAGCTTAATGCTGCTTCAAGATTTTTTTAAAAGAAGATAATGATGATTCACTGTTTTTGCTCAACTGATCTAACTACAGGGGAAACCAAGTGGTAAAAAAAAAAAAAATGTACCATTTTCTCAGATGTAACCAAACAATCTACAATTTAAAAGCTGCTTTACTTAAAGCTGATTCATGTTGTAAGGCAGAAACTAAAACAACATTGTAAAGCAATTATCCTCCAGTTTTTAAAAAAATGTTATTTTAATGAAATAGAGGGACATAGTGTCACTGTAACAGGGCTAAGAATATAGGGATCTACCTGGATCATCCTTTGCTTCGTCATCTGCACTGACTCCTCTTTCAATTTCAAATATTTCAAACAAGTCATTTGAAGGCTGCCGTGGAACTGCAATAGAGAGGCATTTTGTTCAGTTTCAATGAGGCGTTGACACAGAGGCATTACCTTTAACATGGGGGAAAGACGTAGGTATTACACTCATCTGGAAACTCCAAAATATTTCATCACAGTTCACATGAGGATGCATGAAGTTTGTTCTGGAGAGATCTTATAACATTTATCTGGGTACAATTTTAATAAATGGGTTTCAAAAGCTTCTAAAATTCACCATAAAATGCATTAAAAAGTATCCAGAAAATACATTTTAAAACAGCTACCAGTTTCTAGCAAAATAGCTCTATGAAATTCTAAAATTTGTCTATAAAAGATACATTATGGACTCTAAGGCTGTTTTAATGGGGGGGGGGGGGGAATGCCTGTAATTGCAGCGAATGGTTTAACTTTCTAACCAAAGCATGAACTCATCTCCAGTGAACTCAGCATCTGCTATGGGCTTCAGGGCTTAAGCAGGTTCCCCGGCTCCTTTTAGATCAAATCCAAACTCCTTAGCACGGTGTTCACAATCCACCCCCTAAAACACACAGTACTGCCCAAACATGCTGTCCTGTTCACCTCTCTGACCCCCTGCCCAGCCTGGGATGCTCTTCTTCCTGCTAATTAACCAGTCTAACCTCCCCTCTCTGTTACCAAAAAAAATATTTTTTTAGTTGCTCAGGCGTGTCTGACTCTTTGCGATCCCATGGACTGTAGCCTGCCTGGCTCCTCTGTCCATGGGATTCTCCAGGCAAGATCTCTGTTCAAAGCTCAGCATAAATACCACTGGCCGGGTAGAAACTCAAACGTTCTGAGTGAATTCAACCCTTCCTCCCTGGTACTCTGACAGCTCATATTTACATGCTGCTATTCCACTCTTCCCTAAAGAACTGCAGTCATTTACACACGTGGGTCTCTCCCTCTGCTGCCCTCTGAAGTCCTGGAGGGCATCAACCGTGTCTTATTCATGTGGCATTTCCAGGGCTGAACCTAGTGACAGGCATTCAGTAAGTGTTTATTGAGCAAATGGGAAGATCTTGTCAGAAGCCCATGTACATATTAAAAATGGATTCATATCCATTTATTTACTTCTTCAATGTACATCTAATTGCCACACATATGCCAAGCCCTGGGCAAGGTCCCGAGGAGACACAGTGCATAAGAACAAGAAGGACCTGGCCCCCTCGGAGCCTGCATCTAATGGGAGAGGCAAATTTCAAACATAGAATTTAGGACCCTACAACTTCTAATTCTAATGAGAACTAGCACGGAAAAGCACCAGATGATGTCAGGGAGAGTAGCTGGGTTGGGAGTGGGCAGTGTGAGAGAATGTTGGTGGTAGTGGAGGGGATTCTTGGCCCAAGACCAGGGAATCCTCCCTTTTCTTTGCCAGGACTTAAATTAATTAGCTCTATTTTTGTAAGGCAGGGAGTAAAGATGTAGAACACCATGGAACAGACATCAGTCAAAAGGGTTCTTTTTCAATAATGTTCCAATGATTTTTAACAATAATTTTTAAAATTAAGTAACACACCCGTAATATTTGCCCTGATTTTTTTAGCTTACAGCCTTTGAAGTTTTTCTATTTTTTTTTTTTTTTTTGCAAAAGTCTAAACACTGAAGCCCCTTCCTCATCCACTCCGCCACTCACATATACCCATCTAAAATACAGCCTCGGATGGATGGGAGAAGAGACGCTACTTAATGGACAAGATCTTGGGACAAACTGATCACAGGTGCCCCTGGGGCGGCCATTTTATACCCAAATGACTGACAGCAAAGTCAACCAATTCCAGCTTTCCTTTCCTCATCTGGGGTTCTGAGAGGATCCGCCTCTTATGACTAGAAATATTACAGGGTTGTAGGCACACGTTTCATTTCTCATGACAGAGAGAACGTGTTTTGTTTTTTTTTTTTAAACAAATCCACAGAACAATCACTTTTTTGTTCCCCTCTCTTATTACAGCTTATACAAATCATCTCTGGACTGGAATAGCTCAAAATTTACACTACCACATTTTAAGGGCGTTATGAAGGTTTATCAGCCCCCGTTTCTTTAAATGAAGGCCATCAAATGGTAAGTAGAGTCTTGGCGCAGAGGGGGAGGACAGGACGCAGGTTTCCCGGTACAAGGGCCTCTTTTATCACGGAGGTATCTCTGAGCAAACACTGTTCAGTCTGAGATGGAAAGAAGATGGAACCTTCCAAGCTAAAAGCAAAGTGCTGGAAACGGGGAAGAGGGAGTGTTTAAGGCGGTGAGTACAAGGAAGGTGCTCGGGAATATGAGAGAAAGGTATTCACAGTGTCTGGAGGATGCTCAGAAATGAAGAAAGTGGGAGGGATAGAGGTTAAAAGTAAGGGATGAGACCACACATTTGGAAAACAGCCACTCAGAGAATTAGTCATCTAACAACTCGTGAAGTGCCAGATGGTTCATTAGTATTTTAGGCACTTGGTTTCCAAGAACCATTTAATTTAGCAGTGGATGGTCATGCCCACCTTCACTGCAATTCACCAGGAAGTATGCCAAGGAATTTAGACCTAAAATGCTCAGCAGCTATCAGTACTTACAATTTTGTGTGCTGCAGTCTGTGGCTCTGCTAAATTATTCAACGAATCCTCCTTCCTTACACACACCAGTATGGACTGGTAAGGGTGTCCCACTGAAGTGGCAAGAGAAGGTTCACTACCCACTCCCTGGTATATTTTACAGTTTATATAAAAATGTAAATGAAATGATTTCCACTATGTACAAGAAAAACAAATGAACAAAGAAAAAAACAGACTAGAAAGAACAGTGGTGAGATATACAGTCCCATGCTTCACACTTACTTGGTCAATTAATATATGACCAAGGAACCAAGAATCGACAGTGTGGAAAGAACAGTTTCCTCAATAAAAAAAAATGTTGGGAAAACTGGATGGCCAGATGCAAAAAAAAAAAAAAAAAATGTGAAAGTGGCTCATTATCACACACACAAAATGACAGAATGGGTTAAAGACTCCGCGGGGAGCAGAGGGCTGTCCAAAGACAGATGCATGAACATCTCTGAGGAGCTGCTTGCACTACGACCCGCAGGAGGAGTTACTGTGAGCCGGCGCCCTAGAGACTGGACAGGTGTGAACGTGACCCTCATTCCAGGGGCAGAGCTCACGGGAAGGCAGTGCCCCAAATAAAGCTAGAAGTGCAGGCAGACTCTGCAGGCCCTTTAACACCACTGTGAAGACTGTAGACTTCATTCTGGCTGAAACTGAAGTCTTGGAGATTGTAACAGAGGATCAGGTGCAGCATTCTGGCTGGAGCACAGAGGATGAACAGGGGGGCATGGCTCTCAAAGGGCAGTTACGACCACAATTAACATCACCCAAAGAATGTTTTCATACACTCTTTAGATGATTTCCTAAAACCTTTTCTTCCATCAGTCAAGGTTTCATCCACCAAAACCTACTTCTTATAATCTTATGAACTAAAATAAAGAGAAGGAACAGGTACCGAAGCAAGCGGACGGCTGGATAAAATGTGGTTGCATGGGGCCCAGGGGCCCAGGATGTTCCTGATGGCTGGGGACACAGGGCCCTGAAGCCTGGGAGAAGAACTGGCCACACAGATAAGCAAAAACCTTCTTAAAAGGAACTCTGCCCTACGATGTTCTATTAAGTATATTTTTCTCAGGGATAACAGTATTAATATATAACCTGTTTTCATAAATGAGGTTTTCCCAAGAGTCAACTGAATATTTTTACCAAAGAACATTAAAAGTAAGCACAGTGACATATATACACTACTATGTATAAGTGTTAGTTGCCTGGTCATGTCTGACCCTCTGTGACCCCATGGACTGTGGTCCATCCGGCTCCTCTGTCCTTGGAATTCTCCGGGCCAGAATACTGGAGTGGGTTGCCACTTCCTCCTCCAGGGGGTCTTCCCAACCCAGGGACTGAATCTGGGTCTCCTGCATTGCAGGCAGACTCTTTACCAACTGATCCACCAGGGAAGACCCTAAAGCCTATGTATAAAATAGATAACTAATGAGAACCTACTACATAGCACAGACAACTCTGCCCAATTTTCAGTGGTTACCTAAATGGGAAGGAAACCCAAGAAAGAGATATGCAGCTGGTTCACTTTGCTATATAGCAGAAACTAATCCAACACTGTAAAGCAAGTGAACTCCAATCGAAAAAAAAGAAAAGGTAAGTCCAGTGAAGTAAATGTAAATATTATCCCGCACACTTACTACCAGACTTCTTCCGAAGAGTAACTACTATAGCAGAATGTAAGCACAATTTATTAAAGGCAGGTTTACAAATTCTGTTTCTGTTCCAGGGTGGCTCCCATGACATTACCCAGGCCAGTTCTGGCATTTGTTGTAGGACTTGAAGATTAAAGATAACACTGTCTTAAATTCTTTCTATACTTAGGGGTTTAGTTCATCTGGAGAAAATGGTACATGTGTAACTTCCCTAATAATCTGAAGGCTCTTTCTTGTGGCAAAGTGGGGATGAATGACAAGGGTTTTAAGAGGCTATCTCTCTGCTTCCCTCCTCCTTTCTCTTCTCCCCTCCTCTCCCCTGCCCCCTTCTTCCTTCTCCAGATGAACATACACAGGACAGCTTTAAATCACCAGAGGGAATCAAATAAAAAGATCAGAAAAGAGATTCTGAAATTTCCTTAACTACCTTAGAGAAAATTCTCAGTCATCTACTGATCACTAACAAAACGCAAAGGGTTGCTGAGCTCCACAGAAATAAGCCCCACTGTGCCAAAGCTTTCACTGTGTGGGAAAAATCCTCAAAGTTCAAAAGACACCTTTGGGCTGAGAGTAAAGAATAGAACTGGGAAAAATTAAATCTCTAGTGAAAGGTAGGAACATAGACACAGATAATAATCAGCCCCATTTTTGTAACTCCCTATTTCTCTTCTAATAAGATTTCAGGATGACTTGAAGCACTTGCCTAGAGCCGCACCAGGAGAAGAATGTCTGAAAGATGGCTTTTCTCAGTGTGACCATAAG